AAGGATGATTAACTTTATTTTAAATGCAGGTTTGATTAGACTGGCTTCTGGGCTGTGCTTATTTCTCCCCAGCATCTTCCTCAGGAGAGAATGAGCAATAGCAAAGGTGGAAAAGGCGGTATTGGTAAGAAGGGATCTACTACATGTATCTAACACATTCAAGGGCCTAGGACTTACGATATCTTTGTACCTCTCTTGCTCTCTTTTTTTCGTGCTTGGTGTTTGGTGTTTACAGAAGATCTTTAGCTGAACAGTTTATTTCAGGACTATTTTGTGCCTTATACTATTTGGAAGAATATGGGATAAGTCTTTTGTGAATCTTCTAAACGTTGATACCTCTGAAACTGGAGGAGCCAAGATCTGATGAACCATGCCTGTGCTTTGTGTCTAACCATGTCATGAGAGTGTATCTCACTCTGGTTATGAAATTGGCAGCCTTGGGGAGACTGGAGACATGGCAGAGCCATCTCTGTTTGGCTTTAACTCTATTCAGTGGAGGCACCCTCTAAATTACTATTCAGAGTCTGGAGTAAATCACAGGTCCAGACTGAGTATACTGGGAGTCTTGCTTGAAATACTCATATACAGCCATATAACTGTAGACATCTACATTTTGTCAGACGTATCCCACCCTTCCAACGCTTTTAGTTTGTCTATATTTCCTTAGTGAAAAATAAAATCTTTGATTTCCAATAGAAGTACAGTCCAAAAGGGTCAGACGATAATGAATGCGTGTAATATTCATCTCTCACAAAGACGACATCTCCTTGAGTTACCTAGTAATGAGGGCCTGAAAAAGGAAAGATGTTATACAGAAATTGTCGGTTTCCCAGAAGTGCAGTTGCAGATACAGTTCTTGAATCTGAATTTGAAGGAAAAAGATGCCACTGCTAACGATTCAGCACAAAAGAAAATAAAACTGCTACATGATGCAACTGGATCTTGTACCACCAGTGCAGACCAGCTTGAGCACTGGTCTTCCTATATAGCTTTAGGATCTGACTGATGATATTTAAAGTCTAAAAGGCCTTGGATCTGATTAAAGATGTTTCACTTTTCTACAAAATTAATAGAAAGTAGTTCAAATGCTAAAACATCTCATTTAATGAGTCGGGAAATTCTTTATCACTTGATGTCTTTAGCTAAAAACTGGAAACATTTCTTTGAACAAGTACTCAAATGTAAGGCCTCTTGGGTGGAAGATAAATGCTGGAGAAGTTTCTGGTCTCTGTGTTGCAAACGGTAAAATGAAATGATGGAGTAGATCCTTCTAGAAGTAAATATGCATGTAAATGGCTCCTTCCTTATTAAACCTTTTGGTACACTAACCTCCACTCAGTGTTCAGTAGTGTTCACTTACCTTCAGAATTTACTGCAACAAGGACTGCTGCCTTGGTCATAGTAAACCCATAGCTACCTTGATGAAGGCTGTGTGGGGCGGGAGAATGTCACGAATGAGTGGTTTTGAGGCTGCTTAAAGAATCACTGGCAAAGGTATCAGCAAAAGTGATTTTAATAGAAATTTATAAAAGGGCGACTTAACAGAATTCAATGGCAAAGTTCACTCTATTACTCATTACATGGATTAAGCATACACAGGGAAAATCATGTCAGAATTGTGTTGGAATGATTTATAGAAAGACTGAGGACGAAAAGGGTAAGGAGACCCTCCCGTTGAGTCAAGAGGTTCAGAGTAGACCCCCTTGCTTTCTAAACTCCTTCTCAGAGATGAGTCTAAGTGCGGCTGGATTTACCCATAGTCTCAGACTTGGTCAACAGTTTATGCCTAAGGGATTATATGTGTTTAGCAGCAATTTAAATTTCATTTACAGTTTTAAGCTAGATCATAAGATTTTAACAGCACTTAATCATTGACTAGTTTAGCAGTTACAAAGTGAGGTAATCAAGTTTACTACAATTACTAAAGTGATTTGATTACAGATTATGCTTATTACTGGTTATCTAAATCAATACACACATACACACACAAAAGATCTACATCAATTCACACATAAAGGCCTAAAGCTAGATAAAGGTACATGTTAAAAATTCCCCTCGAGCCTGTGAAATACTCACGTTAAACGTCTTGGCATTTCTCAACAGGCGAATGGTTGAGCCCCGAGGAGTGTTTCAGCCCAGGTCCCAGCGGTCCTCCGAATATCACAAACTTGAGAGTTTGTGAACTCTGAGAGGCATCCCACTCAGAGGGAGACTCTGGGCGCAGCCCGCTGCCATCCAGGAGAACTCAGAGGGTCTCGCTTGGGGCTGCTGTTTATAGGTTTGCAAGATGACTGGCTTTAGTCATCAGTAAATTTCCATCCTGGCCACTATCTGGGGTGATCCGGGATAGTAATTATGGTATTGTTCCACGGTAACCATGGTATAGTTTCACTTGAGCTATGACCAGGTAGGGAATGCTTCAGGGCTGTCAGAGATGACAAATTATCCCCTGCTTTTGTTCCCTACCTTGATCAGGTAGCCGGTGTTCCTGGCACGATCAGTGCCGCTCCCCACCTTAGCCATGCAAGAATGCCTGGTATGGTCAAGGGACGCTCAACCGCCCAACTCGTGACACAATGGCTAAGGCCTGACAGGAGTTCCTGAGATCATGGAGTGGCCCAGGGGAAGAGAGGGAAATGCACCACCACAAAGGAGGAGCAGAAGAGAGTCAAAGGCTACAGATTTGCTGAGTGCAGCTTGCCCATGTGCAGCTACCACACACACACAGCACCTCTGCAGTATGTTGGTTGGATCCTCCTCAAAGTTACATAAATATATGCACATGTATATTTATATGCATGTGTTCTTGTGTGTATGTGTGTGCCCAAAAAGATTCTGTGCAATTTTACTGGGCCAGGTAATCTTGTGTCTGTTCATCCTACCACCAGACCAATGTGTTTCACATCTGTTTTGAATGAGCAGTAGCATCTCCAAAGGATATCCTGCTTTTTAATTTCTTCCCTTTTTCATTGTGGTGCCGTGGCTGCCTATAAGCCACTGTTATGTTGCCTCTTGTGAAATGGTTGCAGCAGCTGCAACTCTGATTCAAATTCTTGTCAAGTCATATAAATTCTCTTGTCAGACTGCCAGGCATAAAATTAAATAGGAACTAACTAAAAGGGCATAAAATTAAAAGAAAGGAGACTAGGTGAGAAGAGTAGAAAGCATTTTGCCTTGTGGGCCTCACTAGAAGCTGCTGCACTGGCATCTCTGAGCCTAGTGTTCGATGGATTTTGAGAGAGACGAATGGATGCTCAGGCTATGGTTGGTATTAGTAAATTTTGTGGTACCGAAAAACATTCCCAGGCACTAGATCTCAAACCTCTGCACTGCTGAATTGCTGGAGTGGCTCTTGGGTGGTTTCATTTCGGACCATCCCTCAGAATGGTTCCCAGGCACTATTCAGGACATGTCATGGGTCAGGGACGATTCCCAATAACCAGTTTGGATGTAGCCAACCTATCTTGGATATTAAGAGAGTTTAATAGTGTGGCCTCCATGTCAGAGAATGGTCCCAATTGTATTTTATTTCCTGCTACAGATGTAGCCATAGGCTTTAGGCTCCATCTGAAATGACATCTTTTACGCTTCAGTCTAGTAGCTTCATCATATCAGTCCTATGATTTCTCTTTGATCTGGTCATATTGGTTATATCTACAGCTGGAGATCAGTCCCTAGCACTGATTAATGCATTAGTCCAGCTACAATCATGTAACCTATGGTCTGTCAGGTTTTTTTGCAGGCGATATCTCCTCTACGAGCCTCAGAATGAGAGACTAAGTGGTAACAAAAAACTTTTTTAAAAGAAATTCTTCCTGCCACAGATCTAGGAGATGACTCACAGGCCACAAAGGATATGGCAACCAATTTATGAAATCTGGGGCATTTTTCAGTTCCTGATGAAAAATGAAAATCACAGAAATTACATTTTATTTTAGGAAGTTTTCCAAATTATTTTGCTGACAATCATTATTTTTGGCAAAGTGCTATTAAGGCGCAAGTCCAGTGAAATCCTGCATGACTCCCTGCCAGCTCATGGTAGGCTGTGGTGAAGTGTGGGTGCAGTATATGGGATTTCAACGGACTGTTGCTCCAAAATGGTCTGGAAAGCCCAAGGGAAACAGTGATTGTCACATCTTTAAGCAGAATGCTGATTGATTGTTATCTGAAAGAACTTCAAATTTTTTGCAGAAGCGGTTCTCGGTCCCCTTGGTCCCTGGTTTCGCAGTAGCTGAAGTGGCAGGACAGCAAAGAGGGAGCAATTGTCCCAGCTCAGCAGAATTAGGGTTTGGTATTTCTGCTGTAAACTTGGGATGAAATGGATCCAAGCAATCATTGGCCACCCTCTTCTAAGCGATAATTTGATTGATGCTCTCACAGAAAGGGCGTGCATCCATCTTCACCCTCCCCAGCTGCTGAAGCGTCTGCTCAGGAGGTAACAAGTCCGAGTCAAACTGTGTCCTTGCTTTCAGAGGACTCCCTGTAACGGGGAATGATCACCTATCTCACAGACCACATACCATTATCTCTCAGAGTCGTTTTTTAGTCAAGATATTCCAATCCTTTGAAGGCAGAGTCTTCCCCCAGATATAAAGGAATTTATGACGTCAGTGCAGTCATGATTTAACCTCTTTGGAGGAAAAAAGTGTTCATCTCCTTTATCACAACTGGACAACAAAGTCTTAAGAAAACATACAGTCTTCATCTCTTCCAAAAGCTTATTGCCAACAAAGAAAGTCAGGTTTCAGCTATTCCAAAATGAAACTATACAAAACATTGAGAAACTGAACAAAACAAAGAAACTGTGCAAAACATCTAGAAACATTTATTTAGTCAGGACTAGCACATTGGATGACAGAGGGACTGTAAACCTTACCCACCTCTGAAGAAGAGAATTACTTTTCCAGCACTGTAACGACATCAAAAGAGGCAGAAACTGCCCGCAATTATTTTCATTTCATGTTAAGAAGATTGTTCTTTAAGAGGTATACAGAATGTACCATACAATGCTTGGATCCCTGTCACATTGTCCTTTGGTAAACAAAATCCAAATGGAAACTGGTATTTTTAAGTAGGATGTATCAGAGCAGATGGATCAGTGGGGTGGCCAAGGCCCAGAGCATGTCCAAATTCATGGGCAGCAACAGTGAATAAATTAAATCCTAAACAATTTAAAAAACCCCACAGGTATTTCCATCATGAGCAGATGATTATATTTCTTACCATCTGAGGGTTAGAGGTCAGGATTCTGAGTTTACAGTGATTTTTGGAAAAGGTAAAATTTTCCCTTATCTCAGAAGATGAAATTTGGTGAACATTCACAGAAACTCGGAGGAGATACTGGCAATCTGCGCAAGTGGTGATGTTTGTGTCCTTGGGAATGCATTCACTTGGGTCAGTGATCTATGGCTGGAGTTGGACCTATCATCTGGTAAACTGAAGGACTGGAGAAATAATGTGGGCTTGGGCTCCTAAATTATTCAGATCTAGATGGATGCTGGAATTAGGCAGATGAAAGCTGAGCTCTGGGGCAGATTAGAAAAAAGATAGTCCAGAGCTCTGAAGAGCCTAGGCTTGGCAGAGAGGTCTGCAGACAGCGGCATGTCACATGCCTTGGACATGTTTAAAATTGGTTGTTGTTTTGACTGGAGACCAAGTGACACAGTAATAGAAGACATTAGTCTTAAGTCTGCCTTGTAAAGAAGGATTTTATAGAGCATGGTTGGACAAACAGCAGGCATTGAACAGGACCTCCCATGGCAGTAGATTTCAATGGCACTGTCGAGCAAACCCACCCAAACAGGACTGAGAGGATTGAGAGGATGTGCTCTCAAAAAACCCATTATGAAGCAGTGGAATATCCAGAAAAAAAGGCTTTTGCAATGTTTACAGGGTTTTAAGGTTGGACCTCTGACTTCTAACTAAGAGTTAGGTTTATTTTCCCTGTCATATCCCAAAAGAAAGGTTACTAAAACCTGGATGTGCTATCAGAGCACCCTGAAGAGGAAAGGGTCGGGTAAGACCCAGGTGGATGACAGACAACCTATCAGATGGGAACAAAACCTGATGGTATAAACAAGAAAGCAGGGTCAGGCATGTCATGCTTATCCACATGAACGTGGCAAGCCATCAAGGTGCAAAGAACAAACACTGACTATCGTTGTACTAATAAAATAAATAGGCCTGGAACCAGTCTCCTCTTATCTAAAATAATCTTTCAAAACAGGGCAGATTGCTTCTTGAGGAAAGTCTCTGAACTGTACTGACTCCTGAATCATGTCCAGATGCTAGTTTGCCCAGGACAAAGCTGTGCTAGGGACCAAGTTAATAATTTAACAGTATGGATTATTACTTCTCTGACACTGCTTAATTTACTCTACTGAAGACAAGGAACCAGTATGTCCCACAGACATTTCAGGATTTTTCTCCTCAACACCACAAGCTGATAAAAGTTCCAGCGCTGATCTTGCAAAGCTCTTCAGTATGGGCTTAGCATTAAACCAGCCATCACTCATATTAGGGTCATACAGCCTCCTGTCACACAACAGGGAAACTGTTATCCAGTGGCTCATTAGCAAAGCACAACAATAAGCAACATGATGAGTTTCTATATATATGTTGACCCTCAGTAGCCAAAAACTGGATAGTGCTATTTTATTAAATTATTGTTACAGATAATGATGGCTCAAATTTTGTTCTCCCACCTCCTGCTACACAATGATAAGTCAGAAATAACTCTTTTCAGGATTTATTGAGTTAGTCCAGTTTTGAAAGAGTAAGATTAGATCCTTTTCTTTATACTTGTTTCAATGAGTTTGCTTGGGATTAAGGCTTATCGGTCTGTTCATGTAGCATTCACTTTCCAAACTGACCAGAAATTTATCCCCTAATGTAGGATTTCCCATTTCACACTTCCACATTTTAAACTGTTCTGACATCCCACATCGTTATGCTGTTTCTCCCCAGGTAGCTCAGGAATGGAATGATTTCTGGATGTAAATTTCAAGGATTTTTTCATAGGAAATCCTTGAATCTGCAAAATTTATAAGCTATTTCCATGTACCATTCGTTCCCATGGTCCACTTCTCTGCACTGTCAAGACAATTGTCCCCTCCCAGTCCTTCACTGGGGCAAAAGCATGTGCCAGGGTCCCACGTGGGCCATCAAAGGAATAAGAGTCATGATGATGTAGCAAATAACAGCAGAAGAAAGAGAAGAAACCCCCACCACATAGGGTTTCAGAAACTGTATCCTTAATGAATACTGAGGAGCTTCTTTCTTGGAAGGAGAGGTAACCTAGCATCAACCTAGGAAGCAGATAATGAGAGAAGGTGCCTTTTCACAGCTGTGACCATGAACAGCGACCGAAAGACTCTGGTGAAAAGGAATCATTTAGACACTTTTGGGAAGGAAATTGAGGATCAGATTTAGAAAAGAGGATATATCTCCAGTAATGTGAACACAGTGATTCATGCCCACTTAGAGCATTCAGCTGAAGGGATAAGGCTGTGCAGTGCCATGAAATAGTGTTACAGCATGGTTCTGATGCAATTTAAAGTCCCTTTCTCATCCCAAGTAATTAACTAATGATTTCAATGTTTTATGCATTCTGTCCCATGGCTTTCCCTCTATAGTTAGGAAGGGATAAGTCTGACATCAGCTTTGGTTTTAGTATCATTCACTGTGACCCAAGTTCATTTGCATCATTCCACTTTACACAAGGTACTAGAAGAGAATGAAGTTCTCTGAAGCACTTTTTTTTTTTTCTATAAACATGGAGAGAGCAACCAGATTAAACTGGTGTAATCACAGAATACAAAGCTTGTCTTGTGTGCTGATGAAAATGGGAAGCTTTTTTTGTCCTGTATTTCTACACAGAACATTGCCTTTTCCCCATCCCTCCCCTTTCTAGCTCTTGTCCTGGGAAGTTGTGACCGCAATGACAGAGGAGCAGAATTCACGGTCCAAGGCTGGTCCGTCTGTTGGGTACCAGGATGTGGTCCAGGGTTGTCTTCCTACCTCTGATCTTTGCAAAAGGTCCCTTAACCTGCTATTGAGATTAATCATCAACTCCATGACATGAGATGGAGGATGTACCAAGTCTCCTTTTCTTTACAGTGTCCAGTTTGCCAGCTTCCTTGGATGTAAACGTAGGCATGATATTTCATCACCAAGCCCCATAGTTAGTGTAATCTAGCTGTGAGCACGGCGCTGCGGGGCAAGGCCATTGAGCCAGCTGAGTTGTGAATATAGGTAAGTCTATACTGACTGAAGGAACTAGACCTGATCATTTATTTTTTCTTTATATGATTTTAATTTGCATTGGGTAAGCTCTGTGTCTCAATTTTCTATCGTTATTTAGTGTTAGCATTGTGGTAATGCTGAAGAGTTCCTGTAATGAATCAGGGTCCATTTTGAAAGATGCTTTAAAAACAGTGTAAAAGCCCAGAGGAAGAAGGTTGGCTTCAGGAGCTTTCCTGTATTCTTGTGTGTCACACAGGAGCGATTCTTCCTAGAAGACCAGTAATTTAATACTGCCAAAAGCTAAAGATCAATAAAGTTACCTTTTTTCCCTGGCCTTTCCTCTTGCCCTGAGCAATACTTTCTTCTAATTTATCTGTTAACCGGATTCACGCGTTTGTGGGCACCAGTGGGGCCCTTTCACAATCTGACATCTAGCGGCAGCCTTGTGTCATAGTAACGAGATAAAAAATAAAGCCAGAGAAGGTCAGACGTGTCATACCATGGGAAAATTTTAGCCATTAACATATCATGAGATCATTTCATTTTGTGATAGCCAATCTATGTTTTTAAATTTGTAGTCTTCTTAATGTAATGCAGTGCACTTAGTGGTGCAGTAGCAAGTGTGTGCTTCTCAGTAACACAGACGAAGAATTGTGCATTTGAACTTCCATTATGCACTTTTATAATACAGTCTTCCCTTAATTCTAAGCACTAGTAATTTCTGGCAAAATCATAGAGACTCATTACAAAGTCCTCGCTGAATTTATAATAGAGATAAAAGATTTGAAATACAAATGAGAGACAATTGATAAAAATTAAAAAATGTTAATGGTCCTTTTAAATCATCCAAGCGATGCCTACTAATTTCCAAAGCCAGAAAACCCACAACTCATCACCTGTGCATTCATGTATTCTTTTCTCATTTGGGCTTTTCAGGAAAGAGCTTGTAGTTCGCTATATCAGGAACACCACACCATGGTCTCCGAGTCATGCTCATAGTGCTGTAGTCCACATTCCTGATCACCTGAACACCTAGGAACGCCTGCATGTCTCTAAGATTCCTTGTCATGCAGCTGCCGCCATCTCCACAGCCTGATGCCTTCCCTTTTGTGTATAATACTTGTCAAGGTACTCGTAAAAATCCAGAAAATTTCAAGCCAATATTGCTCATTGACATGGCAATGTTTTGATTGACTAAATGGAGTATTTTCCACAATTTGTATTGTATGAAATGCTGATTAAAAAAATAATGTAGCTGAACATATGGTTAGTAGAAAAGCCTGGCAATGAAAACTAGGCAGTTATTAGCATGAAGACAGTATAGTTTATTTGTACTGAAGTTAAGTCTTATGCTGAATTGGGGTTCAATTCGGAATGAAAGGAAATTGTAATTTTGGAGTTTTCGATGAGATCAAACATTCAGGTTTTGACAAACTTAATTTATTTGCATGAGCTTTCTCTTAAAGCAAATAGAAATTTGCGAAAGAAATCTAAACAATAACTTTATTCTAGTCTGTAGAGTGATTACTATTTTGTAGATGATTACTGTTTGGCTTTTCTATTTCAAATACGTCTGAAGGGATAGAAGGGAATTGATGTGTATCTGTAGAATTGTTTAAGAAAAAGGCAAGGAAATAGCAGAGGTTACATGGAAAAAGCATGTGACATATTTGAGAATAGCTGGACTACAACACTAGCACATCCTTGATGATGAGCAGTCCTGTGGATGTCTTTCTTTAGATGTCTAAGTCCGACCTAAAGACTGAGGCAAGGTACCCCCAAGAATGATTCACCTTACCCTAAGACAGGCATCCTGTGAAAAGCATCTTCCTCTAGGATGATCAGAGGAATCGTCATCTGGAAGAACCTATCTCTTTCAGTCATCTGCAAAGGAAGCCTATGCTTGCGTAATCCCAGAAGTATAATTTTTTTTTAATTATTACCCATTAACTGGACAACATGTAGGCATCTAGTGCTATTTGAGGTTTCGTAGGGTACCCTGCTTGGCTGCCAGCTGCAGTTCTGGAAAGTTGTGGGTCTTCTTGAGACTTTAGGCCCTGCACCATGTCTGCCAGGTACGTGCAGATATCTTGGATAGCCTGTAGTCAGTGGCACTAAATGCTTGCGCTTAGGCAATTGAACTAATTGACCCGGATTTAAGTTAGATGAATCTGCTGTGCATCTCACCGTAGCTGAGGTTTCTTCTACTCAGAGAGCTTGTGCAGTTATGATCTTTGAAAAGGAGGTTGGTGGCATGAGGCTCTTTGCATTGAGGGCTCTTCTCCTCTCCTCTCCTCATATGTTACTGAAGTAGCTTCAAAGTGTGACAGGTTACAAACCTCATCTCTCCTTCCAGGTTTGTAACGGAAAAAGACTGAAAACAGCACAAGCGTATGGGGTCTCATTGCTCAGTGAGGACAGGGACTGAGCTGGTATTTGTCATTGTAATACAGTAGAGGTGGGCTGAGAGTGAAAGGATATTCTGAACATCGCTAATGGCTAAGTCCCAGAAAGAGAACTGCTGCTTGTGTGTACAAATCTAAATCAGTAGATGCAGAGCTGAATACAAGCATGACATGAAATCCAGTGAAATCGCTTGGGACTTGGCCAGCCATAGTGTTCACTGGTATAGCGAGTTCGGTAATTAGAAATCAGTAGTGCCATAACGTACCCTGTGACTTGCACAGGCCCTTGTCTAGCAGTAGCATAGAAAAGATATTGCTGTTATTTCTACTACATATTCTGTCAAAGGAGTGAGGTAAATTTACTACTGTGCATGGAGATAAACTTACTACTGTACATGCTAATGAAACAGTACAATGCTGGCAATTCCAGCTGTCAGCCAAGCGGTTGTACAGATAAATGGTTTGGTTTTACTGCTGGAGGGTGACAAATGAACTTAGTCTGAGAGAGAAGGTTAGGAACCGCTGTGTCTTACACACCAATGACACATAGCTCTGTTGTAGAATATTCACACTACGACCAATTTCTTCAGTGTGCAAAAAGAAGCAGCCCAGTATTTCTCTTACAATGTCAACTCTGCTTTGGTGGCTAGCAGTAGGTGCAGAAACCAGGTTTTAAGCAGTCCATGCGTCCCTAAGCACGGTTCCTGGCTGCCTGTGCCGAAGGAGGGAAAGGCTCCTAGAAGAGGTGGCTGCAGGAGATGACTATGTGCTGGTTTTTGCTTGGTGTTGCAGAAGCAGATCAAAATGAATGCCCTTGATCAGCAAATATATTTAATTTAGGGAGTTAGATAAATCATCTTTGTTACTTGCCCATGAGTCTAATGAGTAGACGTTGTATTCACAAAGCACTGAGTCCTATGCAAATACAAATAAGAGAATGACTTGCCTGGAAAAGCTCTTTGTAATGAATAATATAAAGGGGATGAATCCATTTCCACTGTGGAACTGGAGCGAATACTCTGAAGAGGAGCTCTAGGACTTGTTTTAGTGAGCTTTCCTGTCTGCCAACCTTCACTGAAGACCAAAACATGGTTTGTTACAGGACCTCACAGTTAGTGGCCTATTTAAAGTATGTAGTCACAGATTATTCCCTTTTTTGGTCTGTTTTAAGAGAATTTGCAGTGATTTCTTTCTTTCTCTTCACTTTAGCCGCTCAGCAGTGTCTGTCACGTGGTAACTCTAAGGGGTGTTATGAAATTTTGGACTGTTGTATGCTTTATGGGAGTTGTCTATGTCTTATTCCCAGGAATGTTCCATATTTCATATTGCATGGTTCGTTTCAGACACCGTATTTATTTCCTTTATTACAAGCATGGAACTAAGAACATAAAAATGTTATTTAAATGACAAATAAAAGCGAATGTACCCATATTTTAGCAACATACTCTATATGTTATCAAGTTATTATTTCATGTGATATTTGTGTATGTTTTATTCTCTTGCACTTCATCTTGTACTTCTAATAATAAAGCCTTATTACACTGAAAGCAAGATGGGGAGAGCCCTTCTATAAATGCCTATGTTTAGATACCCATGCTCGTCCCCCTGCCACACATCTTCAGGCCCTCATCTGCAGTAATTCTCAGTGCCCTCCCTCATCATCTTCTTACTTTCCCAGCAATGTAGGTTAGGTTTGCAGTAGAAAACAAAAAAAATTAATCCAAACCGATTGAGAAGGGACTGATAATCATTGTGACACTCAAACCTTGAGAAAGAGAAGGGACTGGTCATGAATTGGGGTGAGTATAAGCTTTGTGAAGTTCCCCTATCCATGTCCCTTGAAGGGACAAGGATATCAGCCATCCACTGATCATAACAGCATCATCCTTTGTATGCTTGCCAAGACAAAAAATGATGAGGTTTAATTTTTCAGCCTTACATTCTGATTTTTTGGAGGGGAGGACCTCTGTTTTGCAGTTTTTGAATCATAGAATCATAGAATCATTA